CAGCTCTATAAAGAGCAAAATATAGACAGTAAAGGCTGCCTTTTACTTGCGCCAAACCAATATACCTTATTCGCCCATTTTTATTGGGTAAAATGAAATTGTTGGCGGCACAATTTCCGCCATTGTCCGCAAATGCAATTTTGTAATTAAAGTAATTATTTGATTCGTTTTTTTATTTCACTTTTCTAGCAACTTATTGCCTTTAGCATTGTACCAATAACAATGCCAATATATATATATTTTATATATATATATATATAGCTTAACTTTTATAGAACTACGCACTGTTCTATGATAACTTAGCCTTGTTCTCCACTTGGCTAATACATATATGACTTTTGGCAGCTCAGCAAAATCTTTAGTTTAGTTTAAATATAAAACTTCCTTAATTTTCAATTTATTTTAGTTACATTTTATTTTCTCTTAGCTATTGGCCAACAAAAGTAGCTGTAGCAACTCGTTTATAGGTCATGTTTTTTGTTTTAGGTCTAGAAACCCAAAAATTCTTATCAGGGCGCATATCAGATTATGCTGGTGTTGCCATGTGGCCTATCTGATGTGGGCGGCAGATAGAAGGAGTAGCCCAAAAGGGCCATAAAGTCAACATGGCTGGCATATGCCAAAATGCCACATGTACGAAACTCTGTTAACACACACACAGAGAGAGACACACAGATGCATACACACACACACATGCAAATGCAAATGCTGTGCGGCCAATTAAGCAACATGACCTAGAATATTGTAACCCAATTGTGCCTCGACTCGGCTTAAATCACAGCTGTGCAGCTGTGTGTGTGAGTGAGTGTAGCCTTTGCATGTGTGCTGCATGTTTAATTGTCTTAATAAATGCGTAGGCACATCACGTGCTACAGATATTTATGTACAAATGTAGCTATAGATATCCATATGCATACTCATATATACATACCTATATATCTACATATGTCTATATATATATATGTATATATAGTTTTGAAAAGCCAAAGTTTAAGCAGTTAACTATAGCAGCTATAGATTAGGTTTCTTTTGGTCAGTTCGCTTAAGTTAGAGCTTCAACTGAACACTAAGCTACAGATATGAGGAATGATAGCTGCGAATCATAACTGAACAGTCGAACGTAGTTTGTGTGAGCAACTAGATGGCAATAGATGCTAATGAGGTATATATTTTATACAGGTATACATATATAAACCTATTATGTATTACAACAATCGTGATATGACTATAAATCATTCTATAAGTATGTAATCTTGGAGCGCTTATCCTTGTAGCCAAATCGGAAATTGAATGTTAATTACGAGCAGTAAGACTTTTGGATATAATTATATATATCTATATAATATGTTCTCCTATATAAACATGATTCAAAGTTAGCATAATTTTGACTCTTTTTATAAGCTTAAGCTAGGATAAATGTAGTTTATTTTTATACACGATTTGTATTTCTAAACAATTTATTGCTCAGTCAATATTAGCCTTGGTCAAGAGCAGTTGAGCAATTGTTGTAATCACAATTTGTAAAATTGTAAATTAGTTTTTCGTTTAACATATCATTTGCCACTGATTCTGTGTAGCTTTAAGTTAACTTAATTATTATAAACACGTGCCTAGAAAACTGAAAAACTCAAAAACTGATTAACTCGCTGAATTGGCCGTCAAATCGACCCACCCACCTCCCGCCTCCCCTCTTTATATCTGAAATGTTGAATTCAAATGTGTTAGTAGTCGCACTATTTTTGGATGAGAGCTTTACTTAACTCCCTGACTCTCCCCCCTCTCTCTCTCCCTCTCCTATACTTAGCGCACTTCGAGCCGCTTGTCATTTGATTAAGCTGTCCTCTTTGTCTTGCCAGACACGTTTGCATCAGGTATTTGCTGCCAACGTCGCTATCGGAGAGTGGCTCAACGGCTCAATAAATGTTGTGGTGTGGCGTGGTGTGCTATCAGCTAAAGCCCTGTCTATGAGGCATGACATGGTCTAAGGCAAAGCAAAAGACTTTTGACCAGTGTTCAATCAAGTGCGAAGGTGAGAACAGCGAGCCTTTTACAGGTGCATAGATATATAGCGCATGTGAGTTAAGTTCAAGCTGTAACATTTTGGCCCCATAGGCTGCAGCTGTTGCCAATCAATGTGCAGCAGGAGCTGCTGTTTGCTTTATTAATATTAGTTTCCGTAAATGTCTCCATATATATATATATATATATCTCCTATTTCTTGCTCAGTTTTCTCTGTGATTTTTTCCTGCTTAACAAAGAAGTTAAATAATTGCGTCGCAATTGTAAATATTTTTGTTATAACATCATCGGCTAGTCAGTGAGTCGAAGCGCAACAGAGATATTTATTCAGGAAGCTATCAAATAGCCTTAGGAATCTTGTATTCATTTGAAATTTGGTTGTATACAAAGTAACATAATAAATGATAGCTAATAGACACTCCTTCTGCTTACAAACCTATTCAATAATTGTAAATTAGTTTAAACTCAGTTTCCACAGTTTCTGTGCACTTCTATTGAGTTAACCAAGTAAAGCTTTGGCTACTTTGCATTATATTTATTTGCATGTAGCTATATAAATAGGAGCAGACAGACTAATAAATATATATGATAATAGCACTTATCACACGATTTGTTTAACACAATGTATTCCCATTGTTTTTATATAATTCTCGTATCTCTTCACTGTCACTTTCCCGTAGTTTCTAAGCCAACCCAAAAACGATAAGCAACGACTTTAACAAACAGTCGCAAAGGGTATTACGAGTTTCAAAATGAAATATTAGAGTATGACAAATAACAAACAGAAGCAGAGTTTCGATATGAAACTTCCTCTCTAGGGAATATATATATATAAATATATATATATATATATATTTGAATGACAAAAGTATATCAAGTATATTTAAGTATTTTGTAGCTTGTGCTGCTTAAGCTAATTGCGAATTATAACGAAAGAAAAATACTAAATGCTAATAATCTAGTATTTTAGTATTTTTTGCAATTTGCTTTCTTTTTAGTTACAATTCGCAATTAGTTTAAGCAGCACAGCGATGATTGCAATACTATTTTTATGAACAGCTGTATATGCATTTAATTCATATTATATAGCCTTAGCAATTTTTACTTACATATTGCTTTAGCTCTTGTTAGTGTTCTTCTTCTTCCATTTTGCACACACGCCGTCGTTGCTGCGTGCTTATCGCACGCTGTCGCAGATCTTTATCTATTGTAAGCGCCCTCTGATAACACGATAAACGCAAATATTGGTCTCTAGATAAGGCTAACGGCTTACGCATTGTTCGGATGTATCACATTGGGCTGGCTAAATACACAATTAGTGTTTTCTTTGCATATTTTACCATAATTTTTTGGCGTCTCGTGTGCCGAGACTAGGCGAGATAAAGCGAAGAGAAAAATCACAAAGCGATTGTAAAATCAATTGTTTTTGTTGTTGTTGAGGGGGTCTTTTGCAGATTGTGGTTGAATGACGATGATGCAGTGAGCAATGCCAACACTTGCAGCGCGGTCGAAGAGAGTTTGTTTAGTTGCTTAGTCAACAAGCTGATCGGATATACATAATATATGAGAAAGTCAATGCGAACATGCAAATTGTTTTTCTTAGCAACAAGCCCGCCGCCCCTTACCAATTGCACCCCCGCCACTAGGCGCGCCCGCTTGACGACACGTCGATTGCCGTTCTTTGTATTTTATTCGTTTCAGTTGAAATTGTTTTGTATACCTTACTTATGTTTACATAAAAAAATAAAACAAGTGCTGTTGCAACGTTTCGCAGAAAGAAACAATTGTTATCTATATGTAAATACATTGCATACAGGCCTTTCCAACTGCCGGCCAACTCGTGCTTTCCCATAACAGTAATTAGCTTTGCAGCAGCAACAGTAGTAGCAGCAGTAGCCGCTGCATTTAAAAATCCGTTCATCTTAATAAAGTCTGCAAAGCAAATGCAATTTTTTGTGTAAGTCAAACAAATTCGCCGCTACAGAGGAAAGATAGAGAGAGGGAGAGAGTGAAGAGAAATGGACAACAATCCTATTGGACTAACTGCTGATCAAGTCTTACTCTCTTAACATATAACAACAGTATCAATAAGCAACGAGAGGAAGAAGACAAATATATCATAATCCAATCGGACATCTGCTCTTCACAGTCGTGTCTTATAAGAAGTAGCAATGAGAAGTCAGTCATATTCAATAGTCAAACAGAGTGTGAGAAGCAAACGAAAATCCAATTGGACTATCAGTTCGTGCTTTAATCAACTGTTAATCCCTTAACATTTCAATGTTAATAACAATACATGTGCGCAAGTGTTAAACATTCTATTACGAACTGAGCTAAATTCAACTTTTAAAATTAAAGTATTACTAACATGATGCATACTCATTCACTCGATAACAGTGCTACTGCCACATTTCATAATCAGTCCTTTCCCATTTGTGCTTCCAATAACACTATATAAAGTGCAGCAGATGCACTTAAAAATTAGTTTCACTTAGCAAGTCCTGCAAATCCAATGCAATTCTTTGTGTAAGTCAATCAAAGCAAAGCTCAAAGAGCAATCAACCATAAACAGAAAGAGAGAGAGAGACTGATAGAGAAAGAGTGAGAGAGAGAAAGGGACAGGTAACAAACACATTTGGAATGGCTGCCCCTGTTTTTGGAGGGCGGCGTGTTTGCTACGCCCACTCAAGCGTAGCCTAAATTGTTTTTCAATTTTATCTAATTTCATTCAATTAAATCTCGTTGTAAAACTTTTCCAACAATAAAAGTTTCCGTGACAATTGAATAAACTCAATTTGTTACTAATTTGTTTTCAAAGATTTTTCACTTAAAAAGAATTAAATTTATTCAATGAATTGATTTGTGGACCTGCACCAATTCTTATATGATATAGAAATTAAGAAATTTTTCAAAAGGCGTTTGAGTTACTTAGAGTCAACTATATATCTGATCATATATATAAATATTTTTGTATTTTCCAGATTCTCCAAGATGTCCAAATATTCGGGCAAAAAATGTCGCCTGCTCTCAATGATGTGGCTGACGGCATTTTTCTTCTTTGTGGAAATCATCGTGGGCTATGTGACCAACTCGATGGCGCTGGTGGCGGACAGTTTTCACATGTTGGGCGACATAGCTGCCCTGGTCATATCATTCCTCTCCGTGAAGGTGACTATATATACTCTTAACATCAGAATCAACTTAAAATACATATATTCCTCCTCACAGATGTCGCCTAAGAAATGGTCAAAGAACACCTTTGGCTGGGCACGTGCTGAGGTCCTGGGTGCTCTGGTCAATGCCGTATTTCTGGTTGCGCTCTGCTTCAGCATCACGATTGAGGCTTGCAAAAGGTGAGGCACCTGTACCCGCAGACACACATATATACGGCGTCATATACATGTTTCTGCTGCTGTTGTTGTTGTTGTTGTGGTCAACGCCTCCACAACACACACACCCAAAGCGCAATCGGAACAGTTTGCCTTGTCACCATTACGTTCGCTCGTGTATTTTCTTGACCATTTTGTTGTTGTTGTTAGTCACTCGTTTAATTTGTAAATTTGTATATTTGTATTTTGCTTTTGTTGTTTTTTTTTTTCGATATTTTTGTCATTCGTTATTCGCAACGTTTTAATTTGCATGCCGCGTGCATATTTATTTCTTGCCACTTTACGTTTTTATACGCCATTCGATTAAATGAACGTGCAAAGGCTTCTCCTTTATAGTTCAGTGAAATTGATCAGCTCTGAGCAAATTAGCGCATAGCTATGCACATATTAAATCGGGATTACTGGAAAAAAATAATTATTTTACCGACAAGTTAATTTTCATATTGTTTTGTAGAGCTTCCACCCAGATTCAATATCAAAATTCATCAATTGATCACATGTTAAACTTATTACATTTTCATGTTAATACCAGGAATTTGTTCACTCACTGTTGGTAGCAGAACAGAGCTTACGTTATTGACCTGCAGCATAACAGCGCTAATGTTATTCATAGCTGGACTGTTATGCCTGCAACGCAGTTAACATAATTTAAGCATATTTAAAGTATATGTTATTTATATCTAATTCAACTTTTATCTTGGATTTTCTTCACAGATTCATTGAACAGGAACCCATACATCAGCCAGAGCTTCTGCTGATTGTTGGCATACTTGGTCTGCTGGTCAATATGATAGGCCTTTGTCTGCTCTATGGTGCGTGTACTTTATATGACTTAACGTAACATATTAATTGAACAAACTGAAATGATTTTAGAGCATGGCGGTCATCATGGGCACTCGCATGGCGGCGGTCTGACACGCAATCACAGCCGGCTCACGGAGCTGGCCAACATGGATGAAGGCGAGGATGAGCCGAACGATTATGCCTATGAAAAGCAGAAGGAGAAGCAGGTGAAGAAGTCCAGTCACGGTCACAGTCATGATCCCGGCCAGATGAACATGCGTGGCGCCTTTCTGCACGTACTCAGCGATGCCCTAGGCAGTGTTATTGTAGTAGTCAGTGCCCTGGTCGTCTGGAAGAGCGACTGGGAGTATCGCCTGTACATTGATCCTGCTCTGTCCATTGTGCTGGTTGCGCTAATCTTGCACTCTGTGTGGCCGCTGCTGCGTGAATCGGCGCTGATTCTACTGCAAACGGTGCCTACGCACATTCAGGTGGATGCCATACAGAAGCGTCTGCTGGAGAAGGTCGATGGCGTGCTGGCCGTGCACGAATTTCATGTCTGGCAATTGGCCGGAGATCGCATCATTGCTTCCGCCCACATACGGTAGGAATTAGACGAGATATCATCAAGTGCTCTTATCTAATTTTGCGTTTAAATCCTTGCAGTTGCCGCAATCTGTCGGAGTATATGAAGATAGCCGAAAAGGTCAAGGAGTTCTTTCATAATGAAGGCATACACTCGACCACCATACAGCCAGAGTTCAGTGAGATCGAAGGCTGCAATATGTCCGATGGCACCTCTAGCATTAATATGAGCGGTTCCGATTGCTGTGCCCTCGACTGCCCCACCACAGAGGAAGGCTGCGTCAAGGCCACCTGCTGCCAAAATAACAACAAATTGGTAATTTACAACGATTTCATATTAAGCAGCAACAACAACTTAACTTCATATCTCTTTCAGAACCAGCTGCCTTCACCCTCGAGTTCGCCCTACATGTGCCGTCAACGCAATGCGGCACGCCAAGCTGGCGATGTAGAGGCTGGCTCGCTACTAGAGGCTGCATCCAGTGGCGTCAACCAGGTGATAAGCAATGGCAGCGCTGTTACAACAGCCGCGGAGCCAACGCCAAAGAATGAAATAGTCTGACAACAGCAACAGCAGCAGCCAACAGCACAACAGCATCAAGTACACTTTGACACAAGCCCAACCACTACAACAACAGGAACAACAACCACAACCACAACACGTGATATAAAGCAAACAACTTCCAAAGTCATCGCAGCCAGCGATGCCAGCCCAAGTCTCTCGCTGACCGCACAAAGACGTCGCGAACTGCAGCTGCGTGCCGAAGAGCAGTCCAAGGAGCAAGTGAAACTCAGCGGTGGTGCCTGCACCCGGAATGGCGATGAGGTGGCGCTTTAAAGAAACAGTAGCAGTAGAAGGAGACACAACCCAAACTGTGTAGTAGAAAATACACAAAACACAAAGACACACACACATATATTTTGTTTTTAGTTCGTGGTTAAGTGCAGGTTCTCAACGTTGTTGTCTAGTTTAGCAGATAAACAATTATTTTAAAGTGTTGGTGCTTATGTGAAAGAACCGACAACAACAACAACACAAACATTAACAGCGCACCATAATTCATTTATATATTTTATGTGCTAGTTTAATTGAAATCAAAATGCTTAGATTTAGCAATTTAACAGTCTTTCATATAATATATATATAAATTATATGAAATGTTGATAGATTGAACAAAAATGAAACAAAGGATTAGTTAATTTTTAGCCTTAAGTGCAACAACAATTAAGTATATATGTACGTTTTTTACATTTTGAAAAAGTTTATACATGAAAAGGAGAAAAAGAAGGAAAAACACATTATATTTAGTAGATACATATATATAAATATAAATATATATATATATAGTTAATGATCAAAGACAGTGACAGCGGCGACTGTTTAGCGGAAAGTTAAAAGAATTATGAATACTTAGTGTATTACAATTTTTGCAAATTCTATAAACAAAAGTAAAATAAAAACTTATATATACATTCTATAATTAGGCATTAATTTCGTATTCTTAGTAGTTTGATTAATAATGCTAAAGTGTAAAAAGGATTTTACTGCGCTATGCTAATTAATTAGTATGTCATTAAATGTATTTATTATTAATACGACGCTGTATTATCTTAACTGATTCTTTCACTATGTCTGCGTATATGTTTGTAAATATGCCTACATCAAACAGATATCATTATATAATTAAATGATACGAGATAAAAACCAAAATCTAGATAATTTTATTTTTTTATTAATAGCCAAAGTCATGCGAAATCATTTTCAAGTTTCATTTGTAAATATATTTTTTGTTTTTGCAATTTTCATTCGTTTCATAACAACTTAAAACAATAATCAAAGTATATGCATTTTATTTACAGAGTATACATCTTTTTCTGTATATTTACAATCGAGTTTAAGTGGATTTTAATTAAAATTAAATTTAAAATGAAAATAAATTATAAAAGCTGTTTCAATGGAATGCAGATAAAAATTCAAAAGTAACAAAGAAAGTGTGTGACAAATAAATATCTAGTGCTCTGGCTCGTGCTCCCCGTCATCGATGCATTGCATCTCTGAGAAGCGAAGCTGACGCTATAAATTCTCATCCAGATTCTTGTCGGTGTTCTCCTCGACAATGGCCTCGTCCCAGGGACCGTGAATGTTGAACTTATAGCGTTGCTGCCTCACGAATATGAGCGGGCAGACAAAGTTGATGAAGAGCGTGCTGCAGGCATACAGACATAGCACAGGACGTGATATGTGATAGAGCGCCGTACAGCATATGCAGAAGATGGGCACCATGCAGAGGGCATGCCATGTGGCAGCTGTTATAATGGGATACAGCACGAAGAAGATTGCCGCCTCCACGAGCAGCACAAAGGCGTGATAAGATGTAGACAGACGTGAGGCTAGGCAGATAGCTCCGAATATGGCTGCATTTAGGGATATTGCCTTGGAGACCATGGCCACAGATAGGCCGTAATCGGAGAACATCAGATTGAAGAGCATCACAAAGAATGTCGTTGTATATATGGTGTCCGTACTAATGGCCTGAGTCAGGGTATGCAGCATTGGTGAGAATATGTAGCCGAAGAGCAGCACCGTGACTAGCGTCTTCGAATCCTCGCCGAGCAGTTTCATGCTGAGGCTGCTGCCACGATAATACAAATATCCAAGTCCAGTGATGATGCACGAGGGCACCAGTATACTGGTGGGTCCGACGCTATCACTGAGCATCATATGGTAGAGTATCAAAAAGCCGGTTATGCAGGAAATTTGATTGTTCAGCACGGTGCTGCCGGCAACAGCCTCACCAAATGTATAAAGTCGCACGTGGAGATTTGTTTGCAAATCTTTAAGAAAACTCACATCCGTATAGTTGTCCGGATACTCGCGATTCGAGTAGAGGTTCTTGACCCAAGGCTTTCGTCTACCATGCGTGGTTTTAGCCATTTTTTAATACAAACCAAAAACATTTGACAATTGGCTTGTTTACAAGTAATCAGCTGATAGGTTCATCGATATCACACACACTTTTACATTTGTTATCGTTGTATCGATAACAAAGGGGCACGGAAATGAATTCAAATTCAAAACGATCTCACAAATTGTTAAAATGTTTTATTTTATTTGCGCTTAAGAGTTAGTTGTATAAAGGCTGAATTCTTATTAAGTTAGGAAGGCAAAAGTGCCCTTGGCTAGTAAATAGAGTTAAAATCAGTTAAAATCCATTGGATTAGTTAAAAAAAGGTCAATTGTCGAAGAATTGGTTCAAATAACCCAAGTAACATTGCATTAAAAACTGTGATTAGGCACGTTCGTCAGATTATAAAAATGGGCTATAAATAAGGCCACTGTCAACAATAAAAGATTCTTCTATAAATATGAAAAATATAGAATTTACGACCAGCCGCCCGTCAGCTTATGAAACAGTTCTTCGTTGAGCGTCTGATTGTTATCCTTGGAGCGCATGGACATAAAAATGTAACCGCCTATAAATTCGTGCACCACCTTACAATCGGCAGAGTGGCAAGAGAAGACGACGTTCTCATCGTTAAACTGAATCATCATGCACTTAATGCCCCAGTTGACATTCCAGGCCTTCATGCTATTGTAGCGCCAGGTCTTGATGTGATCCCCCGTGCTAAGATCCATGCGCATGATTCGATTGTGGGCTACACCTAGCAGCTCCTCCTTGCGGTGGCCGTCGAACTTGATGATGAACAGCGAAACGCCGAAGTCAGGCAGCGATTGCCAAGCCTGGATATACTTCAATTTCGCTTCTAGCAGAGAGAGGTCTCGCACATTGGCATGTGCCTCCAGAATACGCTGTACCGCCTTGCCGGAAAGCTTGCGCATCATCTTCTGCGACAGATAGTCTACAGGGTCCACACTGCGTGGATCGATGTTGACGTGTATGCCATGTACTGGTCGTTGCATCTGCAGCAGGGACAGAATGCCATCGACTTCGCTTTCGTATGTGCTGTCTGCCAGGGAGCGACCTTTGGCTGCCAGACGGCACGCAGCCAGCCACTTAGCGTACTGCTGCTCGTTCTCGCAACGCACCCAGACTTCGCTGTTGGGTCCATGACCATCCTCCGGTGACACCTCCAGCCGTATGGCGTATTTTCCCTGTGCCAGATTCACATCTGGTGTCACCTCGCAGCCACGTAAATTGATACTAATTGCGGGTGCAGTACGTCGCGAATCCTCTGCGCATTTGTATAGATGCAAGTGTAAATCGCGATACGTGAAGAAGTAGCGCTTGTAGCCGCGTAATGTAAAACGTTGTGGCTTAAGGAACCGTAGGTAGTCGGAGAGTTCCGGTATGTGTGTAATATTAACAGAATCGTTGGCGTTGCTACCTTCCAGCGTGATTTTCAGTTCATTGAGTGCCGAATCGATGTCATCATCATCGTTCTCCTGACTGGATGTATCAATGCCCGAATCAACGGCGGGCAACGGCTGCATGTCCACCTGATGATTCACCTGGAACTGAAGAGCTGCAAACATCAGCGTCTCCTGCTCGGTGCAATCCAGTTCTTCGTTTAAAATGGACCACTTGGCTTGCTCGTACAGCTGATTGATGCGCACCTGGTCGTACTTGGGATTCATATCGAAGAACATATAGTATTTAAAGCGCAAGCACAGCGTATCATATTCCCGGATGCCCTGCTCCATCAGCGACAACGAACTGTCCAGCCAGCCGACATTCAGACGTGCCTTCTCCACTAACGATTTGGGGCGCAACAGACGGGCACGTACCTCAGCGCTGGGAGCATGAGGCGAGCTGGCCAAGTTCTCCTGAAAGTCACCCAGGCTCGAGGAGGAAGAATCATAGGTACCATAACCTGTATGACTGGGCTTCCAGTTGCCGGGAGTATGAGGTGTGGGCGAGCGCTTGCCTGCCACATGATGTGGAGAAAGCGGCGCACAAAAGAACATACCCGGGGCAGATGGTTTGTCCAGGCTGCCGTTGCTGCCACCATTGAAGCTTGAATTGATGGGCACAAATGAGTTCGTATCTGCTGCAGGTTGCAGATAAGTCGTGCCATCCGGCTCGGCAATTGGCACACGTTTCAGATGCGGCAGCTGAGCAAAGTTCTTTTTTAGATGCTCCGCCTCGAGTGGCTTACATAAGGACAACTCCTCCGGATAGCGTATGTCTAGCTGTTTGCACAAACTCACAACAGCTGCAAAAGTCTTCGCCGAATAATCCACACGGCAATCAATGTAACGCAGATCTGGCAACTGGACGCGCAGAACCTTGTGCATGGGCGTAAAATGAAGCAAGTTGTCCGCTTGGACGCCACATTGATCGAGCGTGGCTCGTGTGCGTGTAAGCCAAATGTTTTTAGCTGGCCAGTAGAGCGCATGATCTGACCAATCTTTCGGAATCTCTGGATCAACTAGCTGCAGCATTATACTGCCCAAATGCTGGTCACCGCGCACGCGCATTGTGCGCTCCAGTGACAGATCCGTTATGAAAACGCGCAAATTCCATGAGTTTTCGCCAACGTGAATCATTTTTACTTATTTGGGTGTGCTGATGTCAGATGTGCCCTTTAATCTGCAGCCGTTCTCTCTCTCTCTCTCACTCTTTCAGTAAACGTCCTTGTGGCGGCGCCTACGTCAATTCGCTTCGCCTACAAAGAAGAAAAACTTATGACTTTGTGTTGCATCTGTTTAGTAATACAGTTATTTCAACAAATTATTTAGGTTTCAACTACACACTTTAATGCGGGCACGCTGCATATGTCGTAATACTTCCGGATGCGCACAATTGCATTGATTGATTTTCACTTAAGAAACTGGAGCAATTAATGAAAATGCATTGAAATAGAAAGCGATGTTCGCTGTTCAATAAAGAGCTGTTAGGTTGTTCACTGGCGAACTAGTTGCGAACTAAATGAGCATTTGCAACGAGTTGCCAGCATCACGCTAATCGATAGACCATTGGTTTGATTTTTATGATAGACAAGTACCGTTACATACGCTTTGCCATGACAACGGAATACAGATTAGATTTGATCTCCATATAGTTTGACTGTTTCAAATGCTTTTTCCATGCCAATGGACCACAGCTTCAACTAAAAATTTAACTGATTTTAAAGAAACGCATCATAAGCAATTGTTGTCTGGAGCTGTTGCCGTTCTGTTGAACCGGCTTGATAAAATGCGGACAAAATGAACATTTTGAACAAGTTGCCAGTGCCCTCCTATCGATATGAAACCTTACTTTGCATTGTTTTGGCGATAGGCAAGTACCGTTATATTTGTTTTGCCATGGCAACTGACTACAGATTAAAAACCAGCCCCAAGGCTAAAGGCTTCAATAACTTTTTACAAACAAACAATAACAAACAAACAAAAAATTCGTAACCACAGCAGCAGCCATTTAATTTTCAGTTAGAAATCGACAGCTGAACCAGCCGGCAACAATATAACACCAACATTCAAATTCAGCATTAACAATATTTACACAGAAAAAACAACTCAACAAATAAATTCCAACTTTTCTGCGTAATAATAAAAAAGAAAATAAAGTGCGTATGCACTTTAATGGTATTGCTGTGCAAACCCGTATTCCCAAAAAGTAAAGAAGCTCAGTGGGATAATCATGTCGTAAGTATCCCAGTGGATAACTTCATTATCGTTCATCCTCCTTCACTCGCAACTCACAGGTTGCCGGCTAAAAGCTGTGAAAGTCTATATTCGGCTAGCTCTCGCGAGTCTGCTAGCCAAATTTATCAGCGGAAAGCACCGCCACGCGGTATGAAAGCAGGAAATGGCATTCGCCAGCCATCAATGGTGCCCAACAATGGCTCCAGCGATATCCATCAACGAGTGATGTCGGCACGTAATTTGCGTGTGAAGACCTTTCAGAATCAGCTGGCTGATGCCCAGGCCGAGATCGCGAACTTAGCCCACGAGAATCGCATGCTGCGCACCATGCACAAACGCCAATCGACGGCACTCAATAAATATGAGAATACGGGTGCGGAACTGCCACAGCTTTTGCATTCTCATGCCGAGGAGCTGCGTGTATGGCAGACCAAACATCGCAATGTGCAGGCCGCCAACAAGGAGCTGGAGCAGAAGCTCAAACAGAAAGAGACACAAATCCTGACTCTAAGCGACCAGAACAGACACTTCAGTCAGCTCATTCGAGACAAGTAAGTGGAAGTTGAGCAAATCAGAATTTCATTTTTATATGCATTTACTTTGTAGAAATCTGGATGAACGACAGAAGCTGCAAGATAAGCTACGTTTGTTGGAGCAGCGTCTGCAGGAGAAAGATAACGAAATGAAGCTAATGACACGCAAGGTGCAGCTGGAATCGAAGAATTTCAAACAGCAGCTCCTCAACGAGCAAAAGAAGTGCAAAGAAGTGATGCTGAAGCTAGAGAAGGCCAAGTTGGAAATTAGTGGTTATCGCAAGCTGGAGGAGTTTACAGTTGAGTCTGCTCATTGAAGCTGATGTGTGTATATATTTATCATGTTATGCCCATTTGTAGGTTGACAAGACAAATCCCTTGTCTGCGGGAAGACGCACCAAATTGAATGCCGTCGAGGAAACAGATAAGATAGACAAGCTAGAGAAGTCACTCGAAATGCTGGACAAGGCTATTGAGAAGAACAATCAAAGTGAATTCAATGCACTGACCGACGTTGTGGATACGGACTCAAATTTTGACTTCGAGAAGGACGACGATGGGGAGAAGAGTGCCACACAACCGGAGGGTCAGAATACCAAAGACAACAAACCAATACGCGCCAAATTGACGCTGCCTCCAGCTAACAACCAACTTAAGCAGACACCCAGTACTCTATCCAATGGATCCCGTCCTTCTCAACTCAATTCTAGCAAGCCAAACTCACGCCTGCGTAGCGGCGGCGTCTTTGGAGGAAGTATATCCACATTGGCCAGCAGTAATGCACGCAGTAGCTTGGCAAGCAAGCGTCGAGAGGGCGACACGACTTCTAAGCGTACAGCAGCATCAGCAGCAACAGACGCAGCTGCCGATAAACTGGACACACTGGCAAAAACTTTGGAATACGACTATGAAGAGGATTCAGAGCATGATGAAGATGAGGACAGTGATGGCAAGAAGTATGGAAAAATGGACGAAGAAGATGATGCTGCAAGCGAAGAGGAGGAGAATCAAAATAACAGCCGTGTGGAATATGCCTCATACTTGGACACTAAGTGTGAGTTGAGTGACATGATGGAAATGGACGAAGAATATGAATACGACGAAGACGATTTACAATCGCCCCCAAGCAAAGCTGTGGTAAGTAAATTTCAACTGTATTAATCTATAATTATTACCATTATTACTCCACGCAGCAAAAGCTGAATTTGCGCGCGCCTATCATGAAGGAAAACATAGCTGGCATAAGGAAACTCATCTCTGATGACCAGAAAGAACGCGAGAACTTCTTGGATACCCACTGTCGTCCCATTTCGGGCACCAATGTGCGCGAGGATCCTGCCAAAAAGAAGCGCCCAACAACAACGGCTGCAACAGGAGGTGCTGCAACAGGAGGTGCTGCTGCTGCTGGTGGTCAACTGGTTGCCAGTCGTAAGCATGCTCTGCTCGCCGCACTAAAGGTCATTGACGACAACAAGGATGAGGATTAGATAGGTGTTTTCTTTTCAGACTATAAGCGTTAAGTTATATTTTTTATTTGATTCAAAGTAAAGAGCTCTATAAGCGGCCAGCTGAAGCAGGTGCAGCACAAGCTGCACAAAATGCCTGATCGCTATGGATGCCGTGCCCATGGTCCAGCATTTAATGCAGTTACGTACTGCACCTGCTCCAGCACCGTTGAGCATGTAAAAGTGACATGCGTGGAACACATACTGTGGCAGTTGAGATGCAACAGTTTCAAATTGTACAAATGTATTTTTTAAGTTTACCTTAGGATCTATATGTACATTATTTCATTATTATTTACTGTTCTTGCCCCGCATCTTGCTTATGGCCCGGGAAACCTTTTTGCGTAGCTCCTTTTGTCGCTTCAGTTTGGATGCTTCGTCAGCTCGCTTTTGGGCACGGAAATTTTTCATACGTTGTTTCGTTTCCCTGCGTTCGCGATGGCGTTTATCCTTGTAGTTCGTCTCGATCATTTTCATCATTTTGGCCACTTTCTGTTCGTACGGAGAGTTGATCACGGCAACACGTTCGAGTGCTTCCCTAGGATTCTCTGGGCCCATCTTCGGTTTATCCTTGTAGGGCAGGGCACGCTGCAGTGCCTTCGGTATGACCAGCGGTCGGAAGATCTTCGGCTTGCGAACTATTTCTGTGTACATGCTATCCGGCTGTGACTCGTTTTGCAGAGCCCTTTCCCGCTTCAGTTGGCCAAGTGTTTTCATGCCTTGCCACTGGCTCTTTTGCTCTGGGGGCAGCAGAAGCGAAGTAATCGGTGCATAGAAACGTGGCACCTCCACACGGAACCAGGTGCGACAGAACACAATGTCGCTCAGAAGTATCTTGTCCTCAAATGTAGCACGATATGAACCTTCCGGCGTGTGATGTGCCTTTTTGATTTGGCCACGAATGCCCGAGACGGTTTTAATCTTTGCGCCCTCAAATTTGGCCACCTCGAGCGACGAGTTGAACATGTCCTTAATGAACGCAGTGTTTTTGTAGATCTTAAACGGATGTCCCACTAGCTTTAGTTTCTTCATGATCTGCGAAGATTTGTCCAGTTCGGTAACGCAGCCTGTAGCAGCGATCCGGAAGCCCAAACGCTTCATTTCCTCCTGATCCTGACGCACCGTTTGCAATGCCAGAAAGCCCGTATTCTGCGGTGTTATGGGACCCCAGAAGGTCATGCTGCAGGTCACATGATTGGGCGTATACTTGAGATAACGATGCCTCAAATTGTCCTCAACCTTCGCAAAAATTGCCACCGTTTGGAAGCGACGCCAGCCCATAGAAACAATCAATGGATCGCCAGTCTTAAGAATCTTCTTGTACCAGCGATGCTTCTTTACCTTGCAATTAACATAGCCCACGTTCTCCTCAGTCATGTTGAGTGCACCCACTAGCACCGGGTAGCTCGCATCGAAGTTCTCCACAAACTCAGCTGCTATGGATTTGAAGCCCAGGCGTACATACAAGCCAGCGCGATAGCCTTCGATCTGGATGCGCAGCTCATTGTCCAGCTGAGCAAATTCACTTTTGTTCAGCTCACTTTGCTTTTGGGCTTCCGCCTTGAGGTCCTCGTAGAATGAGTGGTCTCCAGTGATTCGTCCACCATCATTTTCACCCTTCTCCCCATTATTATCATATTCTGCATCGAATTTTGCCTTCAGTTTCAGCTTTTTTGCCATAAGCTCAGCCTTTGTCAGATTCTCCTCCTCCACGCGTGTCATTCTACGTTTGGCGGGTGGACCTGCGGCAGCCTCATCAGCAGCGCTTGCCTCGTCTTCTTCAGCGGCTGCTTGCGGCTTACCGCTGTGCTGTTCGCCTGTTTCCAAATCCTCAAAGTCGCCATAAACTTCGCTATCCGCATCGCTCATGTCGTCCAATTTGAGCAAGTTTTCAGCATCCTCCGAGGCTTTCCATTTGCCCGTCACGAAGCAGTTCTTGATCAGCTCCTTGTTCGAGTCGGATAACCAGTCTCGAGTAGCATCTAAAATACAATAGGTTTCAATAAAGGCTTCGATCTATAGTGTTCTTAATTCATACCGCTTTGATACTCGAAGAAGCAGCGCTCGTCTTTGTCGCGAATGTCCTTGTCCTTTTGAATATCAGTTTGCTTTTTGGCCGCCACGCGAAACAAACCGCCTAATTCCTCTTCTGAATCCTCGGCATCACCTGCCTGCTGCTGCTTGCTTAGTTCACCTTGGTTGTAAACCCCGTAGACAATACGCATAAGATTTCGTGACTCCGAGTGGCGCTGCAGGAACGCATCACGTGCTTTTTGAGCCAAATTGGTTTTCCAGCTCATGTTGTTGGCTAGGATGCGTGCCTCATCATCCTCTTCGTCGGAAGCATCGCTGTTTGGGGCACTTTCTTTCACATCCGCCAAACTTTGATACTCCTCATCACCGGAGGAGCCATCCTCATCCTCGTCTTCTTCCTCCTCCTTATCGCTATTCTCGCCACGCCAATCATCAGCAGCAAATTCATCCGGCTGCTCTTCATCATCGGACGCTGCATCCAGGCCAGAATCATCGGCGTCGCTGTCTTCATCTTCATCCTCATCAGATTCTGCCTGATCTTCGCTTTTAAAATCCTTGGACATGATGGGAGCACCATCGGAGAAGAGTCGGAATTCCTGCTGTTCAATTTGCTCGTCCATAGTGGTTTTCTTGTCTATCAGCTTGCTGACCAGCGCCTCCTGCTCGCTGGCCTCTGCTGTCTTTTCCTTGTGAGAATGTGAGCCCTGGAGCTCAATATAGACAGCGTCTTTGTCATAAACGATGCCACCAACACCAGACATGGGCGCATAGAGCAGACGCTCTTTTTCTAACAGGCTGCGCTTCTTCTCTGTGCCAGGGAGAGGACACGGATCTGGTATAAGGCTTAGCTCGTCAATGCGCGCGTCCCCCAAACCGGCAATGTGCACCATGTGCTCCTGCTTGAGCGGCACACCACGCACATAGCCATACAGAACCACCTCTCGATCACATTTGGGATCACGACGCACTGCATCTGTGTTAGTAATGTCCTCCATGCGATCCACTAGCAGGTAGCTGTGGGCACCTCTCCACTGCAGCGGGCGGAACTTCATGACAGATATGAAGCGACCAAGGTTCTTGATCTCATTACGCAAATATTCGCCATGAAGCAGACCAGACAAATAGAAAAGTTTAGCTCCGTCGTATACCTCTGTCCAGAAGCGATGCTTTAGCTCCTTCTTGCGTTTCCGCAGCTGCTTAGGATTTTTAATCATGTCTAAGTGGGTCAACACACCCATTATCTTGGGCATGCCATGCACTTGGCAAATATTCAGAAACTCGAAGATCTCCATTTCAAAGCCATAGCTGGCATCACAGAGTAGAAGCACCAGATCCGCGCACTTAGCTACATCGATCATCGAGTTAATGTCGTTGTTGCACTCCAACAAGGTAATGCGTCGTTTCTTTGAAGTGACTATGGTAATGGGACCACGTATGTCCGTAACATTGGTGCGTGTGAAGCTCTTGATCAGATCCTTGATCAGCGTCGTTTTGCCAACTTTGGGTGGACCCACAATGGCAATCAGCACCGGTGGCGGTTCATCTGGTGTCTGATCGACTAAGGGGATATGTTGCTTTTTCGCCGTCAGATCCTCCTTGCGTCGAAAATTCCGTTCAGCACGTTGTGCCGAGTTAATGGCAAACGCTTTTGGATTTCGTTGGCGCGCAGTCAACTCGGGTTCCTTTTGATTGGCATCCTTTTTGGCCTTTACCTTCTTTTTGTCCGCTTTGACGCCGGACTGGCGAGCACGGTGCTGCTTGCGCTTATCTTGACCAACATCGTCAGCCATTATTTACGGTAAAAAATAAGAATAAAAATATAAATTCCGCTGCCGTTTATATATAGAGCTGCACGTGCGAGCGGAAGAGTAAATCACTTTAGTATTAAAATACTGAAAGGCTGTATTTAATTTTTGACATTTAGGTTTTTATAATATTTCGGTCACACTGTCGGTGCATTTTAGTTTTGCGGGCTAAACGGTCACACTGTGCTGCAAAGCAATTTTTTCGCATTATTCATTTTTAGTTAAACTTACAAAATGCTTTTGCGTTTTGGCAAAGTGAAAACCTATTAAATAGGTCTAGTTACTGGCTTACGCATATACACGTCCTCCGTACGCTAAACGCCAAGTAACACTGACAGAGCGCTGTCAAAAATTAATAAAAGCTCAATACTCGCCCTGACACTGGCAAGAAGCAGCAGCAGCAGCAGCAGCAGTAGCAAAGGCGGCGCGTAGTAAAAAAGTCTTATAGGGCGCCGAACAGAAGAGACGACAACGCACAGGTAAATGTTAATTAAGTGTAAAGGCATAGCGAAATGCTTGGCAAGTGTGCAATGAAAACTTTTCAATTTAAAAATCATTCGACCAACGCCTGAGCTGCAACGTCTTTGTCACCAGCTGTTGTTGAGAGGGACCACTGTGCAGAAGGTGGGCGCTGTTCCGCCCCTAGTTGTAAAGGGGGGGCTGGTAGTGATGGCCGTGGTGTCGATTCTCTGGAGCCGCCTGCAATGCGAGATGTCTCTGGCATACAATGTCAATGCCTGACCTTGTTCTTTTATCGATTTATAAAAATTGCATAAAAAGCCAAAAAAAAAAACTGATTTAAAATCCAACAGCAGAGGCAAAAATCAAGTGAACTGCACACAAGTGAAGGTTAAACAATTTTCTGTGGCACGGACGCTGTTTCTTTGTTTGCTGAAGCAACAACAACAAAGAAATATGCAAGAAATAAAATACCAACAGCTAAAACAACAACAGTGATCAGAGTCCCAGAAGCGAATACATTATTCTTTGTTGTCTTCTGCTGTTTTTCATTTCTTTTCTTTTTTTTAATTGAAATTCAAGCGAAAGCAGCGCAATGTAGAGGTGTTCAATTTAATTTGTTAGCATTGCGTTTATTTTCTCTACTTTTTCAGCAGCTATGGAAAGTCCTTGTGAGTCGGAAAGCTCGTTGGATGGTGGCACAATGCTGCCCCCGAGTCCCGTGTCCAGAGAGCAGCTGCAAAAACGCATCGAATCGCTCACACAACAAAACAAGTAAGTCAATCAACATACCTCCATCATATACAATAAATTTGAATGTTCCTTTGCAGAGTTCTGAAAGCAGAGCTGGACACATCCAAGACAAAATGCAAAGTGGTGCAGGAGGAGAATCGCTTTTTAAAACATGCATCGGTCATAATCGTAAGTAGTTGCAATACATGTTACAAAAATAGATATTAAAGTCTTGTCCTTTAACAGCAAGCCAAGGCGGAGCAGGAAGAGGAGTATATATCCAACACGTTATTGAAGAAAATTCAAGCGCTTAAGAAGGAAAAGGAAACACTGGCGCATCATTATGAGCGCGAGGAGGAGTGTCTTACAAATGACTTATCTCGCAAGTTGGATCAACTGCGTCAAGAGAAATGTAAGCTGGAGCAAACGCTGGAACAGGAGCAGGAGTGCTTAGTCAATAAACTAATGCGCAAGATCGAGAAGCTCCAAGCAGAGACAGATAATAAGCAAACCAATTTAGAGCAGCTGCGCCGCGAAATGGTCGAGCTGGAGAACACACTCGAACAGGAGCAGGAGGCGTTGGTCAATAAGTTGTGGAAGCGCATGGATAAACTGGAAACAGAGAAGCGCTCGCTACAAATTAAACTTGATCAGCCGGTCTCTGATCCAACAACGCCACGTGATATCACCAATAATGCCAACGGCGACACCGCCACTAATTTAAGCGCACACATCCAGACGTTGCGCTCAGAGGTGCTGCGTCTGCGCGCTAATCTCGCAACCGCCCAAAAGGAGGAGAAGTCCATACGGGAGGAGAATGCTAGACTTCAGCGGAAACTCAAACAGGAAGTGGAAAGACGCGAAGCACTGTGCCGTCATCTCTCTGAATCGGAATCGTCGTTGGAAATGGATGAGGAGCGCTTCTATAATGAGAATCTTATGGCCGGCAATCCGACTGCCGTAAATGCTCAAAGACAACGCACCATTAGTAGTCCCGTTTCGCACAGTCCCTCAAGTAGTCGCCCACTCAGTCCAGGCACAGCCGGACAAAATCGTTGTTATGCCTGCGGGCAACTTGTGGTAAGCTAATAGGAAGAGGTTCTTAAAAACTCTGATTTATATATTCCAAATTTTGCAGAATCGTCGCGCTAGCGAGCGTTTTATAAAGCCAGCACTGCCTACGCCCATGCTGGGGCTCAACACTTCTGCACCGAATGTGTTGACCAGCACAAATCCACTGATGGGTACTGGACCCACTGCCATCTATAGCGGCACAGCTGCTCCAGGCGTTGCTGGCACGGGTATTGCAAGTGGTTCTATGGCTGGCTTGCTATCAAATTTGAGCAACGAACGACTGAGCTTTGGTAATGCTGTTTTGGTTCAGAGCAATGCCGCCGCCGGCAGTGCGGGCACATTTGTGGCCGGCGGGATATTGTCATTGAATAATCAGCTAACAAGCACATTCAGCAGTGCTTCGTCCTCGTCATCCAATTTGATGAACATTTCGTCCAGTGGCAATTTGATCAACAGCAGCAGCAGCAACTCATCTTTATCGGCATTCACGCCCACCAACCAGCCAAGTGGTGCAGCCACGGCGTTTATACAGCCGGCCAGTCCCATGGACACTTCCGCATGCAAGGAATAGTTAGTTACTTAGGCTTTGCTGCCAACATATTTTCACACACACATAACAGAACACACATACACAACAAACACACACTTACACGCGCATACTTACACACAGCTAGGCACGCAAGCAAGCAAGCAACCAACCAGTTTAACGAAAGTATAAAACATTAAACCTTTATAATGTAAGCTTCTCTCTCTTTATGGAGCGGCTCAAAGTCGCACCATTTATTTCTATTTGATATCAAAATCTCTTTATAGTTATGGCGACAAACGTAAACACTTTCAATTATCTATGATATTCCTACATTGCATTGGTGGCAGGAATTACGAATTACTTAGCGCTAATGTCTAAGAATGAAATAACTTTTTTACTTATGTTTGGTTCAACTTAACTTTAAATGAAAAACAAAGAAAGAAAGAAAGCAAGCAAAACGCAAAACGCATAAGAAAACAGCAGCATATGTAATACCAATTTCCCACTTTCCCTCGCATGTATGTGGGTCTACAAATTTTTTGAAGTATGTATATGTAAGTCAACAAATAAAGTTCAATAATTAAAATCTATCAAATAAATATCTATAAATATTTAAAACATTTATTGGTTAAGCTTACAAATAACAGCCCATATTTAAAAGAAATATCGATAAGTTCTCGATATTCTCAATAACAGAAAATGTTAAGCCTCACAGCTCATTTGAGTAGTCACAGCTCTTTTGAGCAATAACTGTGCCATTTAAGCATAAGCTAACAGTCGGACAGGCAGACGCGGTGGTTCCTGTTAAGGTGTTAACATTAAAGAAGAATAACATTTGTTGTTGTTTTGGCGTCGAAGTCGCATGCATGCCGTTGAGCTGCGCGTCAAAGGAAAATTAAATACATAAACTATTTCGAAAAAAAAAGCAAAACAACAGCTGAATGCAGCATACGTATACATTTTTTGTGCGTTTTAAAAGAAAAAAGAGCTAGAAATAGCAAACTGTAAATACACATCTAATAAAAATAAGTTTCTTTTTTTGATTAAAAACTGCGAGAAAATAAATGCAAAATATATGTATTCCTGTTTATGTATATATATTGATCGCTTGTGAGATTGGCAAAGCCCATCGCGTCCGACGATAAACACAAAAATAGCAATATTCAATCAAAAGAACAGCAGCGCGTGTGTATTTTGGCTCAGACAGGAAGAGATCATTCGCCAAAAAGAGCAAACGACATAAGTATGTATGTGCATATTTATGTGTGTGTAAACACATAAGTAAATGTGAATAAAAAGAAAAGTGCAAAGCGAAAGTTCAATTGTGTAAAATCTTGAGTGCGTCAACCGTTTGTTTAGCTTGCGTATTTGTTTGTGTTCGTGCGTCTGGGGCAGTGCGCGTGTTAGACAAATATAACGGCAGTTGCAACGGGTCGTCGCCGTCGTCACTGCTTTCTATCCGCGATTCACATGTACAGCAAAAATAACAACAGCGACAACAACGAGAAGAACAAGAGCTACAAAACTAAAGGCAAACGGAAAAGCAAAAGGCAGAGCAATTGTGTTCAAGTGAATTGCAATAATTTGTGTCGGCTGACCAGATGTGTTTAATAAATGATTGCGATTGCGCCAGTTGTATATTATTATGGCCTTGTTGAATAAACTGTTCTTTCCGTCGGTACCAACACCACCAACCGTAGCAGCAGCACCACCCACGCAAGCGACGCCAACGGCAGCCCAATTCGTTGCAAACCAAACAACCCCAACAACAGCGCAGCCGACGCTAAATTATGGCCAAACAACAGTAGCGGAGGCGGCATCACGTACTCACGCCTCAGCCGGCAACAATAGTTCGGCGTCCGCAAAAGCTACGCAAACATCCAGAAATTATCTAAGGTAAGTGTTTGTCGTATTGTATATTTGTATATAAACACTTACACTCATACACACGCGAGCTCTCATATAGAGACGTAAAACTATTTGGAGAGGCACGTGTCGTGATAGTTAGTCATAAATAGGAGAAGCATGCTCATCACGCGCACATCTCTAGCAGATGTATGCAATGGTTAACACCTGGCGTTAAGTCGCCTGTAAAAGGACGGCAAAACAATGGCACACAACCCCTACAGTATACGTTAGGCAGCTGCACATGCAATCAGCGTGTGTGCAAAAAAAGAATAAATGAAACAAATAAATACTTATGCATAAGTATTAGAATGAAAGCATTTCCATTGCCTATGCCTAGCATTTGTCATTGTCAGCTCATGGTGCTCTTTATCTCTTCCTCTTTGAGTTTCGTACGCAAATTGGCGAGCGTAAACGGGGACAATAACCCAGCAAACATTTTGGCAAATGCTTCATTGCTCGTCACGTACGCCATAATGCAATATTCCCTATGTTTCCATCTTCCTATCTTCGTCTGTCCTTGTGTTTTTATATATGTATGTGTGTGGTCTGATATCTGTTGTTCTGCGTTAGAAGTCAAAGTGCAAATCAAAGGTGCGACCCCAACCAACAACACTATAACAAGCTCGCGACTGCGCTTCTGTTCTCTATTTTTTATTCGCCCTACTATATTCGTCTCACGCTCTTAATGGTGTGTTCGGCTAGTTTCGGTTTGTTGCGACGAGGTCTCATTTTGCCGCTCTCGCGCTCTCTCTTTGCCGATCAGCGTCGACAGTGGGGTGCCGTAGGCGTCTACGTATGTATTTGTGTGTTGGCAGTATATGGAGAGAGACGGTTGCCTCGAAGGCGGACGTAAGGCGCAAATGTAAATAAAAACGAATCACATGACTTGCTAATCGGCGTTCACAGTCGCTGCTTGCTCTCGTGATTATTATGTCATACACACTTTGTGGTTGGCTTCGCCACTGTTGGCTGCGCATAGGTGTGCGTGTGCGAGTACCCTTAAAGAGGAGGATATTTGAAATTGAACAGGTTTCTTGAGCTTTAGACCTTAAAATGATTCAATATGCATTCTTGGAAAGGGTATCTAATATTCGCTGATATGCGTCATATGCATTGCTCTGTTGATTTTCTGTTAATTCATTTAATTATTATTTATTACTGTTTATTTGCTTATGTATGCTGAACTGTGTGCGCGTTAACAATGTTGATTTTTGACGCTTGCACTCGCCGTCAACTGTTCTGATTGCGGTCTCTCTTTGTTTGTCTATCTGTTCGTATGTTTGTTTGTTTGTTTGCATATTGATTGTGCGAATGTGTGCGCGTGTATGTGTGACTCGATCAACAGCAACAACAATCATAATAATAATAAAGGGACCAGCAGCTATTTCAATTGTTCGTTTACAATTTGCATTTCCCCATTCAGTTCACAACGTGCGCAAATCGTTTGAATAGCATTTTTTTGTTAAATCGATTAACGCGATCAGCTTACACATACAGACGTAGCTGGGTGTGTGAGTAGAGTGGGGGTCTAAATGGGTATTTAATGGAGGTAGCTTCATGCCCCGCCCCCAGCACCCGGTTATGGCCGATAAGGCATAAAATGTAGCATATATCAGCGGCCTTTTGGCACATTCAAGTGTGTATTGGCCAATTCGTGGCAAAGGCATATACAAGTGTATATATCTGTACTTGTGTATGTACATATATACACGGGCATTTTAGTCGCGTTCACCGTGAAGAGAGAGAGAGAGAGAGAAAGAGAGTGAGAGATCGAGATCGAGCAGTTGCTGCACTCTCTCAAATCGCCATCACGTGATAAATTTTTTACTCTGCTAATTAAACGCGGGGTTTTTGCACTTTGCTAAATGTAAACTTCAAATTGTTGGCAGTTAAACTCATTGAGAATTGCTGCTGTTGTTGTTGTTGTGGCTGAAGCTGCCAGCTGGTGGGTGTGGCGTGTAGGGCGGGTGGGGTAGCATAATATTGGTATAGGTCAGGCTTTGGGTGCTGTAAACCAAATAAAATTCTGTTTGCTTTCGCTGACAGTTAACAGTTAATTTATTAAATTGTTTATATGGGCGACACGTTTGAGTAAATTTCCATTCCAAATGCCTATGTCTACGTGTGTGTTTGGGGCTGTCTCGGTGCTTGCGTGTGTATGAGTTTGTTATCGTTCATTTCCATTTGGCTTGCGACTAAATTCCTTAGAAAGTTCCTATTTATCTATACAGCTTTTTATCTATTACTAAAAGAGGCAACGAGAAGCAGCTCTATCGCAAGCGTGCGATCATCATAATCGTAATCATGGCTAGGACTGTGTGTATTTACTTAGCTGGAGAATGTCAGTCATCCATGCCAATCCCCTCACACTGAATCATGGCCAATTCATGTCCATACCTAGACATTTGCTAGTCACCAGCTAGTCATATGACCAATATGACACAGACACGCACTCAATATGCGAAATTTTTAGAGATAGATAAATAAATAATATGAAATAAACCAATGCCCAAATAACAAATACCCTGAATACAATATATTATATATATCAACTTTTGCATAGGGATTTAAGTAAGGATTAAGAAATTAGAAAGATATATCGAATGTGTTTTACTTGGCTATATCTTCGACCGGGCTAGATCGACTCAACTGCTAATACTAATATACTTTATATAGCATCAGCTTGCCTGCTTCATATATTTTAAGGAAGCCATCATACCTTGTCCAAACATTCTACATATAGGGTACACAAAATAAATAAATAAATGAATTGGTAAAACCAAAGCCTAACCCACATACCTAAATAAATCACACACAAAGATATTTTAACTATAAATGAATGTATGCACAGTAATTAGCACGTGGTTAATAAATTTATAAACCCTTATGTATGTGTATATATTTATACATCTGTGTATAAAGGTTGATTATTTATTTAGTGAGTATCCAACTTTCACACAAAATAATTCAATGGAGCACGTGGCCATATTTACGTACGTCTATATGACGATGTCTATGTACCAATTAGCACTCGATTGTGGAAATTTTATGCCAATTCGCATATATTGTCTGCATAAACTATATATGCATATATATGTATATATATATCGTGTGAAATAGTCGATTTATTTGATTGCTAATCAAATTCGTCACATAAATATAAATCAATCGACTGAAAATGTTATAAATAATTCGGTTTTCAAATCTATTGTGTGTGGCGGTTCGGGCCTAGCCGAATGCCAAAATTGATTGTAAATTGGAAATTCATTAAAAACTTGATAAGTGTGCGCGAATTGCTTAAACAAATACAGACAGGTGCATGCCTGTGTACCTCTGTGGACACATCAATCATTAGCGCTTCACTTACGTACGTAATCCCCCCTGGCTTATATGGTATATATAATAACTATCGTGTGATTTACATCGCTCCATTACGAGATCATCTAATGAGGCGCCCAACTGTCTGGCCATTTGCCGCACCTTTTGGCCACATGTCTTATATTTCTTTTCACTGTGTATATTTATTTGTGCATTTTGAATATTTTTTAAAACGTTTTTTTTTTTGTTTTTGTGCACCTTGAGCCAACATTTGCGTCGCAGCAGCCTCGTGTCTTATTGCAAATAGTTACCCTACCTTTATTATAATCAGTGGGTATATTTGATCTTAATGGGTGTACTCAAGCACCTCTCTCTGTGTGATATATATATATATATATATATATATATACGAGTGTTTAAGGCGTAGTCTCGCCAGTAAACAGTAACTAATAAATATGCTAACTATCCTTGAAAGTTGACTACAAAAATACTTCAAGTACTTAGATTGGGGCTTTCTTATAGAAACCATTCTCTTTCAGACAATTTAATCAAATTTGATTAAATCAGGTTGAAAAGACTTTCAAAAGTTTTAATAGTAAAGCATTTAAAAGTTGTTATTTAAGCAGCTGAAATGTATCCTTAAGTGAATATACCCTTTATGGGTTCGCTGCATTTCGCAGGGTATAATTATATTTAAATGCCAACGTTGTCGACTTTGCCACTGTGGCTCCATGTGTTAAAGTCTCGTGGTCTGCCAAGTCATATGAGTGAGTCGTCGCAATTGTTGTTGCTGCTGCTGCTGCTGCTGTTGATGTTGTTATTGTTATTGTTGTTGGGTTTGGGGACTGATAGCTAAAAGCGCGCTGCCTTGTCTACGACTGTCGACGTCGTCGGCGCTAATTATCAGTTAACAAAAATTGCTTTTGCTTTTCAACAAGCAACAGCAACACGTCAAATTAGAGACATAATGCCCAAAAAGTAGAAAGTGCTGCTGCCTGTCGGCTGTAAATAAAGCTGCTAAGCTCCGAGCATGTCAAAGGGAGCTTCTATTTAGACACACGGCGATATCTGAGGCATATATCAATCAACTTGGACAATCGATGCGATATATATTTACAGTTGGGATTCAAAGAATTCCATAACGGAAATCTTAGACTAGCGACAACTCCAGCAAATTATAATGCAATTCCAGCCATATCAATAGGAAATTTAATATATTTTCCTTTATTTATGTTAAGAAACTTCGCTTCAAAAGTGTGAGCTCAGTTTTCTTACTGGGTATTCAAGTTGTAAGCTGATAATGTTTATTTTTCTTTTCTCGATTTATGTGTAGTAATATTGGGTATATATTTACATAAACTGACTCTTGAGGCAGGAAGTGAATACGAGAACCAATGCAACAAGCATTGCCTAGAACCAAGAGACCAAGAGACTATATTATATACAATTTAAAGTTCTTAAAGAGCTGCCCGAATAAAGATATGTTACATAATTCATTCATGTGAATGACTCGATTCGCTTACACCGCAATGAATTCGCTCAAAAGGTTCCACTGCTTTAGACACTTATAATGAATTTCGCTGCAAAGAACTAGCTCAAAGAGTTGACACACCCATTTTATTGACGTCATGATATTCGCCGCACTTTGCAAGCTTAAAGGGCTGGCTATA